GTTCTCATCAGCTGCATACCACTACCTGAAATTACAATGGTTACATAGATAGATGATAATAACATACTTTAATGTTTGAGTGGTAGTAGAGAAGAGATACCATATACTATACGCTATGTGAACCTACAAGCTAACACTGTTCTATTAATCGATTTTTTCTGTTTTCTGTCTTATCTCTCCCCCCGCTTTTTTCAACTTTAAAAGCGTATAAATTGATGATGATAACTTAAACTAAATAAATTGTAATGCTGCTTTCATTTTGGATGCGTCAATTTTATAGTACCTCGTCTTCTCTACTACCACTCAAACATTAAAGTATGTTATTATCATCTATATAACCATTGTAATTTCAGGTAGTGGGAAGGCGAGAAACACATTCATCAACCTGAAACCAACCAATCTGGAAATCTTCGTCACTCAACTCAGCATCAACAACAAAATTCGGATTTTCAATACAAACGTCAAGTCAGTTCTTCTATACGAACCAGAAACTTGGCCAGTGTGTCACCAAGAATATTTCCAACAGCCTGTTGCACACCTTTATCAACAACTGTCTTTGCTGGCTCTTTACTGAAGATCAGATGGCCGGAAAGAATCACAAACAAGAAACTATGGGAACAAACAAAACAAGAACCAATCACTCAACAAATATGCAGGAGAAAGTGGAGATGGATTGGACACTCGCTGAGGAGACCGTTAGGTGACATCGCTCGTCAGGCCATAGCTCGAGTGGCACCCGACAGGGAAGCGGCGAGTAGTGGGACGTCAGTGCAAGGGTGACATGGAGGAGATCGTGTGAACAGGAGTTGAAACAGTATGGACTAACATGGATGCAAGTGAAAAGTAGAGCAGAAGAAGAAAGCAAGTGGAGACGTGCAGTTGAAGCTCTATGTTCCACTAGGAATGCAAGGGAACAATAATAATAATAATTACAGGTATTGGTGTGCAGCTGATGAGAACCTGTGAAATAGAATGATGAGGATATCATTTTATACTGCAAATTTCGTCTTTCTTTCTTTATCGAAATTTATCAAGGGAACAGCCAAATGTATGAAGTTGTTTATTTGTTGAAAATCCCAGCAGAACTCTCAACAGATCGATTACAATTGATAAGTAGCCTAATAATAATAATAATAATAATAATAAACGTTTGCTTAAAAGAAGAGCTTAGGTGTGGCTGATAACTTTTTCCCCTACAAACTCCATAGCTTGCCAAGCTATTTAGTCATTCACTTTTATGAATAGCCATCATGATAATAATAATAGTAATTCATCAGTTTTAGTCTTACCAGTTAGTCAGTCAGTCGATTTCTATTAAACTGAGCATCTAAAATGGGAATATACAATAGAATCGATCCTTCTTTCACGAAATGTAATCTCTCTCTATATGATATATATATATATATAAAATGAAAGGTGGAGATAGACAGATCTTATTGGGTAGATATCATTAGAGCATTTCATGTCGTCGAAATATATAAATATATCAGTATTACCTGTAGTGATTATATTGATGATATGTAGACTATGGTTGGGATAATGAAAGGGAAGTGATTGCCAAACGCGCTAACTAAACACTCACTCACTGATGACTAACCTTATCGATGGTGGTTTTTTGGCTTCCGTCGTTTTCAGTGCACACAGAGTGAAGAGGAAGTGAAGAGCCATCAAGTAGAGGAGTTGCATTAGTAGAAGGAAGGCAAGATAATAGAGATGAAGATGAAGAAAAAGATGAATGAGGATTAGAGAGGTTTCGCATGCACTTCGGATTGTGAGGGCGATTGTTACTTCCCGGCTGCCCAAACCGTGGAAGTTGGTTGCGTGACCGCAGAGCCCAGGGGACAACTGCTTGAGTCAGGCCGGTCACACACGGCCTGTTTTTGTTTGTTCTCTTTCATTTGGTGTGTCTTAGTAGCATATTTATCACTTCTGCCCTGTGACACGGCAGCAGGAAGCGCGGTCGTTGTTAATCCGGACCCCGACCGATCCGGCATGATATCTTGTGATTTTGTTTGAGTCATAGCATTGGATTGGGTAGCTGCTTTTTGTCTAACCACTATCCAAACAACCTTTCTGGCATGGTAGGACCTCATGCGACATAAGTCTCAGCCAATATAGCTTGTTGGGTCATTGCGGTGTTCAAGCCCGACCACCACGTCAAAGTAGCAGCTTTCGGTCGGGATGACTAACCTTATTGACCACACTGATTCTCTTTTATTAACATAGTAATACTCATAAAGATGAACTGTGTTGTGAAGTGTCTGTAGGACAGATGGATTGCTCGGACTGAGTCGTTGCACTGCCCTTTTTTGACGAACAGTGTTGTTAGCCGATATAGGGATTAGGATAGGCTAGGGGCGTGAAACCTTTGACAGTTGGTTTGAGTCGGTCATGTAGAGGCATGTGGAAATTGTTGCGTTGCGATCGTTGGGATGGTGAGAACCGATGGTTTGGTTTGGTTGGCCACTTGGATCTGACGTATCTGCAGTCTTGACCCTCTATCCCTCCCTAGGAACAGAACTGGATCTTCTGAAATAAACCTTCATCGAAAATGGATACCCACCAAGATTCTTTGACAAGATTATCAAATCAAAGGTCTAGAGGAAAGAAACATCACTTGTTTAAAAAAAAAGATGCTTTACATGAATCTGGATTTCAAGCGAGACTTAGCTTGTGATATCTTCAGGAGAAGAACTTCAGCATCTTTGAAAAAAGGAAATTCTTCGCAGCAACGTTAAGAGTAATGTTCTCAAGTTGTTCATTGATCTGCAGAAGCCTTAAGGAAAAGATCTCACATCTGGCCATTTCTGTGTGCATATATCAGTTCACCTGTTGACGTTCGATGCGTATCCTGTCCAAAAGGGTTCAAGAACATTATCCCCTATGGCTACAAAAAGGTAATAGTGGCTGAATAAGGAGTGCGATAATCGAATACCTTGTCAATAACACTGGGCATTCCATCTCAACAAACACCATCTCCGTCAACCTACCAAAGGCAATACTCTGGTCTCCTTTGTATTGCGGAAGCCTTAGTCACTCAGTTGGAGAAAGCAGAGTTATGCATATAAGTGAAAATCATTCAACCACTTCTACTATCATGCTAACAGCCGTGTTGACTTCTACTGACTTGATCTTTGTGCACTTGTTTTTTTTCTTCGCTAACTCCTTATAACATTTGTAATTTTTAGAACACTTAACTAATTCCACATTTTCCTTTGTTTCCTCTATGTGCATCCTAATCACAACGCACTCATCGAACTGCTCATCGTGTTAAGTAATTGTATTAGGTCTATTCAACTGCTTTTACCTACCTGGGGAGCATCGTTTCAACTACAGGCGGATGGAACTGACGAGGATATCAAAGCAAGAATTGGAAAAGCAAGACAAGCTTTCACTACTTTCAAGTCTGTGTGGAGGTCAACTGCACTCAGCATCAAAAATAAGATCCGGATTTTCAACTCCAATGTAAATTCAGTGCTACTTAATGGATCAGAGACTTGCACTACGCCTCATAAAGAGCATCTCAAACAAACTACAGACCTTCATCAACAGCTGTCTTCGCTCAATACTACTCAAGATCAGATGGCCGGCCAAAAAAGATCAGCAATAGTGAGGGATCTCTGGGAGCAAACCAACCAGGAACCGATTGTGCAAGAAATATGCAGGAAGAAATGGAGATGGATTGGATTGGCCATACTCTGAGGAAACCATCAAGTGACATCACTAGACAAGCCATTGCTCGAGTGGAACCCGAAAAGGAAGTGGCGAGTTGGTCGTCAGTGCAAGGGTGACTTGGAGGAGGTCATGTGAAGAGGAGATGAAAGCGTGTGGGCAGACTTGGAGCCAGGTGAAGACTCTCGCATAGAACTGAACACAATGGAGACGCATGTCTGAAGCCCTATGTTCCTCTAGGAATTAAAGGAAGCAATAATAATACTAATAATAATATTCAACTTCTTTTATGTGTTGATTGACATTTATAACTATGTGTCTTGACAACACTCACCACTACCCTCTTACCCATCTGCACCTCACTCCCCGCCAGTTACAGTTTGATTATTCATCACATTTTTGAAATGTCTTCACAACAATAACCCTAACTGCATATTTTCATTCTTATCGGACAAACCTAATGTACACACACCCATACACAAATAAGTGCATTTAGTTGCGATTGTACAGCTAAGTGAGTGAATGAATTCGTCGCAGAAAAAAGACTCTTTGCTGAACTACGTGTTTTGTTTTCATTATTGGTTTGAAATTGTTGGTGAATAAACTCAAAACTGTCTTAAATAATTCAGATAGATGCATTCGGTCTCAAAGCCATACATCTCTGCACAGCCGTTAACTTATCTGTAATTGATGTCGTCCGTGGATATAGTTGAAAGGCCATCAGCTAACATCAGTTACAGAACTGTTGAAGACTAGGGAATATACTAGTCAGACGTTTCGTCCTCTTTTGAGACTTTTCAGCATTACCTACCCATGACCACCATCACCATTTTCACCAGGGATTGATCCCAGTTAGTTTAAGCCAGTCATGTAAGAAGGTGCACACCTCTTGACTGGCTGGAGTCCTCGGGACGGTAAACACCAATCATGGCTGCAGACAATTGATGATATGGCTCAAAAACCCCGTTCTCAATGGTTGGCGAAGATGCATCCACTCCTTGTGACTTATAATTTCCAATGAAACTATATTGCTCTTCGTTATTACTATTCCTTTTGCCTCATATCCATGTTTACTGTCTCTATTTTGCATTTCTTCTCTTTCTTTGTGTGCTACATGGAGGGAGTGTTGCAACTTGAACTGCTGCACATCGCTGCAAAGTTCTGTGGGGAAAACAGACAGACAGGTCGCGTGTTTGGGTGGAAAGGGAGTAGGATGTTGAACGAGGGGTGTGGTGCAAAGTAATTACTTCTTTTAATGATGTACATTTGTTAATTTTCATTTAATAAATTATTTATTAATTTTTTTTCTCTCTATTTATCTCTATTAGAAATTTTTTATGCGTCATTCAATGGCCGATACAAAACCAACAAATGTTTGTCCAACTGGTGGGAATTGTATTGTCGCTAAAGGAAGTCGAGGTAAATGTCAAATATGCCGATATCGTAAATGTCTATTAGTCGGTATGAAAATGAAAGGTGAGTCTGGCAGTTTTTAAATAATATATTAATAATAATAACAATAATAATTTTGTTTGTGATACCACATGGGTTGAATTTGTTTCACGCATATTTTGAAGCGGTTACCTTCAGATGACGACGTACTATTCTTTTGTAGTTCTACATTGGTGGTGACTAATGGGGGGTTGGTGGCATAGCGGTTAGGACGCTCGCCGACCATGCACATGGTCCGGGATTCGATTCCCTCCCCTTTACCTTGCTAAGCTTGAAATAATGCTGGTGAAGAGGAAAGATTGGGCATGAGGAAGACTAGCAACCCCATCCTGTAAAATAAGCACTGGTACAGAAACTTCAAGCCACTAGTTTGAAGTCCTATGTTCCACTGGGGAACGTGACGGAAAGAAATGGGGGGCCTAATGGATGGATAATGCTTTAATGGCATTGATGGTTCATTGCTAGAATTTTCGCCGGCTACGGAAGTGATCCGGGTCGAGTTCGATGCTGGGCCGATGCACACTTCTGTAAACCACCTAATGTAGCCCGGAAAGAAAAGGGGAAGGTTGGATTTGGGTGTGGGTGTGTGTGAGGCCAGCTGTTTCACTTCGAGGAAAACAACATCACACCTCTACTGAGACTTCAGTGATTCAAGCTTGAAAACTATATTTTCCACTCGCAATACAAAATGGTTGTAAAATCTCTTGGGTTGTACAGTCCTGGGGACAAGTAGTTCTGAAGGGGTGACCCAATGATGGATTGTCAATACAGCTAAAAAAACAAAACGACTTCTACTGTGTGCCAATAGTCGCTATTCATTTTTTTATTATTTGATTCCTTTACGGTGCCGAATGTGACATCCTAGGTCTTCAAGCTTGACCTTTGAAGTTCCAGTAGCCGTGGGGTTCTTTTTTTACGCGCTGGAGTTGCTAGTCTCATACTCAACCTTCCCTTTTTGTTGGGCTTACACAACCTGCTGGGGTGAGCCTGCGGAGAATCGAACCCCAGACTATGTGAGGCGTGTAATTCCGTATTAGTTTGTTTATTAGATGTATCACACAGTCAGTGAAATGGTATTATTATTATTTACTCGATGACAATGTTTCAAACACAATTCACTTATTGCTGTTCATAATCATATCGCCAATTATAAATACACGACTTAGAAACTTGAATTATACAGTTTTCTTTGTTCTCTCCTATTTGTCGTCGTCCGACTGGACAGGTTTTGAATCATTCCTATTACACGTATCCTCCCTCAGTTCATTCGATAAACAAAGCTTCTGTTATCAATCTCTCCCACCCACACCTGCCCTGTTACATTAGGTTGTAAAAAACTGTCATCTTATCCCATCTATCCTATTGTATGGTTGTGTGTGTGTGTGTATAATTGCATGTAGTGAGTGCCATAGCTGAACTATTCTGCAGATTTCTTATCTTAGTGTCGCGTCAACTAATCTAGATTTTGCTGCTGGATTTTTATGCTCGGCTAGTTTGACTGACTGCCCCTGTTCTACTACTTCGACCTACGTATTTGACCTGACAATCAATGCAGGAATTACTTACTACCACAGTGTCCAAGTTTTATGAGGCATGGTTGGCGAGCCTCCTCCTGCTGAAGCATCACCAACGCATTTAATTTCTACAATAGAGTTGAATAAAACTGAGCTCCTAGAGATGCATCGGTCGGTTTTCGACATAGAACTTTGCACATATGTGCGGCAGTTCAAGTCGCCACACTCCATGTAGCATACAAAGCAAGAGAAGAAAGTAGGACAAATACCTAATATAGACAGTGAACAGACATATGAGACAAGGGAATATTAATAACGAAGAACAATATACTTTCATCGGAAATCATAAGTCACAAGGAGTGGATGCATCTGCGCCAACCATTGTGAACGATTTTGAGCCATGTCACCAATTGTTTCCAACCATTGGTTTTTACAGTCCCGAGGACCCCAACCAGGAAGCCAGTCTACATCTTCCTACGTGGCTTAGACTAACTGTTGTGGATTTCATTGACTGGTGCCATGCTTTGCTTTGACCGCCTCTAGCTCTTTACCAGCCTGACCCTATATCAGCTAACATTGCCCGTCAGTCGAGGAAGGCGATGACTAGGCATACGTAGCACATGTCCTAACCATCTCAGTCGAAGTAATTTCACAACCTCGTCGATTGATTTCCCCTCCTTACCTAGCACACGACCAACGCCTAACCTCAATATTGCTCACCTTATTATACCACTTCACACGGGAGATAGAACGCAGACACCTATGATCGAACACAGATAATCTTTTCATGTCTTCTCCTCTCAATGACCAGGTCTCACAGCCATAATGGAGGGCGGAGCGGACTGTTGAGCAGTGCACGCGCCATTTGGTCGTTAGTCGGATATCGCGTCTACGCCAGAGACGGCGTAAACTGGCATATGCGAACCTAGCCCTCTGTATTCGTGCTGATATTTCGTCGGAGATGAACCCGTTTAGGCTGATGGTAGTTCCCAAGTAATTGAAGCGGTCAACGTGCTCTACCACTTCACTTCCTAGAAATGCATAGGAACTATTTCTGTCCAAAAATGTGTCTCGAAGCAACCATGATGCTTTACACTGACTGTCCTAAATACTTCTTTCTATCTTCCTCTCTGTCTGTCTGTAAATTTTGAGAAAATACTACCAAGTATAACCGTTCAACAGTCTAAGTTGCTGCAATTTCCGTCATCCATATCACACCAACTACAAATGCTTCTTTTAAAAAAAGCGGAAACAAAATGGGACAAATAATTAAAGCAATAATTATTATTTATTATTGTGGGATTAAGACTCTGGGGGACTGGGACTCATCTGACTGAAAACAAGACACCTAGTTCAGCAAAAAGTCTCTTTTTACCGAATTCATTCACACACACAATCGTAATTATATATAATTATTATCGTGTGTGTGTGTATATATATATACATCAGGTTTTTCAGACAAAAAATAGAAATTATTTAGGGTTATTGATTACGCCATCAAAATATTTCATCATAAACTTGGCGAGTAATCAACTTGTAACTAAGGGAAGGGGCGTGAAGATCAATAGGAGGGTAGTCAGTGCTGAGTTTTCAATGCATAAAAAAAGTTGAATAGGTGTATTATAGTTACGTAATAAGATGAGTAACTTAAAGAGAGTAGCTTGTGATCAGGATGGACATAGAAATGAATGGAAATATTATTATTATTATTGTATCCTTTAATTACTAGAGGAACATAGGGCCTCAGCCGTGCGTCTCCATTGAGTTCGGTTCTCTGATAGAGTCTTCACCTGGCTCCATGTCTGCCCACACGTTTTCATCTCCTCTTCACATGACCTCCTCCAAGTCACCCTACAGTTACACTGACGACCAACTTGCCGCTTCCCTTTCGGGTTCCACTCGAGCGATGGCTTGTCTAGTGATGTCACTTGATGGTTTCCTCAGAGTATGGCCAGCCAATCCATCTCCATTTTTCCTGCCTATTTGTTTCACAATCGGTTCCTGCTGGGTTAATTCTCTCCCAGAGATCTCCGTTGCTGATCTTTTCTGGTCGGCCATCTGATCTTGGGTGGTATTGAGCGAAGACAACTGTTAATGGAAATATATATGGAATTATGTAAGAGTTCTAAAGAACTATAAGAGTCATAATAAGAGTTAGAAAAACAAGCCAACACACCAAAATGAAGTCAGTGAGAATCGACAAGTTTGTTAGCGTTATAGCAATCGAAGTGGTTAAGTTATTCTCTTTGTATGCATAAGTCTGGTTTCTCCAAATGTGAATGGCTAAGGCTATAGCTATGACTGACTACCTGACTAGTTTCAACATAGAACTTTGGACAGATGTGCAGCAGTTCGAGTTGCCACACTCCCTCCGTGTAGCATGCAAAGCCAACGAAGAAGAAGAAGAAAGTAAAAAGAAACGCTAAATAGAGACAGTAAACAGAGATATGAGGTAAAAAGAATAGTAATATGGAAGAACAATAAAGTTCCATCGGAAATTATAAGTCACAAGGAGTGGTTGCATCTGCACTATTCATTGAGAACGAGGATTTTGAGCCATATCACCGATTGTCTTCAGTCGGCATTGCTGTTTGCCGTTCCGAGGACCCCAACCAGTCAGGCAGTCTACACTTCCCTACGTGACTGGCTCGCTTAAATTAACTGTTGTGGATTTCATTGACTGATGAAGCCATGTTGATTTCGGTTTGACCACCACTGGCTCTTTTCCAACCTCATCAATCTTATGTCAGCTAACATTGCCCTTCGGTCGAGGAGGGCGATGGCTAGGCATGTATGTGTAACACATGTTCTTACCATCTCAGTTGATGTAGATTCACAGCTTCAGCTATGTTCAGAACAGACGAAGATGTATTGCCTTTGCTAGGTTATTCTTCACTTTGAAGGAGGTGGCAATTGTTGAAATGGAATGATCAGTGATGTTGATATGGTATTCGATTATCGCCCACCTTATAGAACCATTACTATCTTCCTGAAAGCCATCTGGGGGTTAGGGGGCTGGGATAGTTTTCTTGAACCCTTTTTGTTTAGATAAGGGAAACACGTTGAACGACCAATGTTTTGTATCCTTACTGGCTGAATGAGTGGCGGGGGTGGGGGGTGTTTTCATGAACTCATCTAACTAACTCAATGTTAAGTCCTTCATATGTTTCGTAGTCTATACGTTATTGTGTTTGATAACTTTCATCGGAAGCTATCTGTCTGTCTGGATTCAATATAGAACTACTTGGCACCGAAGTGCAGCAGTTCCAGTTGCCACCTTGCAAAGAGCACACAAAGGTAGACAAGAAGATGAGTGAAGAGAATCAATAGAGTTTTGACAAGTATAAGAGTGAAACAAAATGAGTAATGGTAGAAAAGAAATATGAAAGATTACAGGGACTGAATACATCTGCGTAAGCCATTGACAACGATTTTGAGCCATGTCACCTATTGTCTGTCTCCAGCCATTGATTCATAGAGTCCCGAGGGCCCCAACCCGGAAGTCTGCAT